AAAAAAAAAAAAAAAAAAAACCAACTTTTTTTGGCCAGGAAGTACATATCAAGGGGTCTGTCTCTAACAAACTGACTAACTAGCCTGCTGGCTCCAGGGAAAGAAGGGTGAGTTGTCATTGACAGGCAGCCTGAGTTCTTAGGAAAACAACTTTTTCAGAAAATAGGAAGCTAGAGTCACACAGTAACCCTCCCCGAGTCACATTATAACCTCGACTCCCAAAACAATGTCTTTTCAATTGTCAGCAATCTTTCTGGAATTGGCAGCAATGATAACGACAGCAGGCATCGCCAGGCAGGACATGGGCATCTGCAGGGGGTGTTCCACACTGGCAGAGAAGACGACCAGGATCAGGGCACAGGGTCATGCCATCGTTCTGCCGAGGAAGATTCCTTAGCGGGGAAACAGGTGGAGGGCCACTTGGCTCTCAGCAGCCTTTGGGGTCTCCATGGGCCAATTTAAGGACCCCCACATAGCCTCTTCTGCACCATGACAGCTACTCCATTGCCCAGGATGTAGCTCTGGCTCTGCTAATTTGCCATTTCCCTGCTCTCCTGCTTAGGTCCTTTATTGGTTCACTCTAGGAACCCACTCAAGTATTATTCAGAAAATAAAATATGAGGAGCAATCACCAGTGGCATTTAATTCATCACACAGATACCAGAAATGACTTACTTTATTAGACTCTTAAACACTAATTCATGGAGCAGAATGATTGTCATGTTGTTGTACTTTGTAATTCTGATGAAAGCGACATTGACTAGATACCTACTTTGTGCCAGGAACTATGCTAAGGGCTTTTATTTGGAATAGTTTACTTCATTTCCACAATACCACTGTGAATCAATCTTATTGTTATCCAGAAAGGGAAACCCAGGTCTGGTGAAGTTCAGTAATACATCAAAAGTCAGGCTCATAGCAAGTTAGTGAGCTGAGATTTTTTTTTTCCCCAAGGTCTTCTGACCATGAATCCAAAGCTTCTCCACGGTGTCATACTAATAAAGCAGGTGAAACAGAGGAGGGCATATTAACTATGGAATATGGTAGTCCTGTGTCCAACTCACATTTTGAAACTCATTAGCCATGGGACCACAAGTGAGGGATTTAACCTCTATGCTTCTATGTCCTCTTTATAAAACAGGGAAAATTAATCTGTATTGAGGAGTTGATATAAGGATTATTTGACTCTTGATTTTATGTCAATGCAACTAATAAATGCAAAATATGTGACACTTAAAAACCCTCACACCTAAAAAGTGAATTAGCAACTCGTATATGTTCAACGGATATTTGTGAAATAAATCAAAATGAAATTTCCTGGCATACAGGGAGAGCTCTGTAAATGACAACTATTGTTATTTGCAAGCAACTTAAAAAAATGTTTTTGGTTTCTTGTTTGCAAAATTACCATCTCTTAATACAAGAGAGTTTAGAGAGTTTAAAATAAGCTCTTCCCTGGCAAAAAGTCTTAAAAGAAAAATCTCATTCTCAGCACTCACCAAAAGATGGAAGGAGAGAAGAATGTTATAGATTGACTGTACAGGGTGATAGGTGAGCTATTTTGTTAGTAACATGGCTATTCCAGATAGCATTTTGAATGGTGCTAACTTACAAAAGAATATTTATAGCAAAAAAAAAAAAAAGAATTTCAGATACTTGAAAAGCAAGTGGGACAATAGCTTAAGCAATCAAAATCATTTAACAGAATTTTTTGCACATATTTTGTCTCATATTTTGCATTTTACTAGTTGCACTGACATAAAATTAAGAGTCAAATAACCCTTACATCAACCCCTCAATTCTGATGAATTTTCCCTGTTTTATAAAGAGGACATAGAAGTATAGAGGTTAAATCCTTCACTAAATCATTTAACAGAAAAGTAGTGGAGTAAACACTGACAAACTCACTCATTCATTCAATCTTTGATTCATCAACACTACTAATTCATCTAAACCAGTCTGACTTTACCAGACACTATTAAAACTTGAGAACACAACATGAAAAGCTCAGCTCCCCCCCTTTTTTAATTATCCATAATACAGCCAGTAAGGCAAGGGCCCATCACAACTTAGCTGGCCTGAAAGATATGGGAAAGGGATCCTAGAAAAAATAATGTCCATAGTGAATTTTGAAAAGTAAGTAACTTTTCAGGTTTTTGAGGGAAACAAACTGAGGGGTCTGAGTGCTAGCAAAAAAAAAAAAAATTATGGGAGAAGCTGGCCTATGCATGCAACTACAAATAAATCCATAGGCTGAAAACTAACATTGGAGAATCTTTTGGACAGAAATGTGCTTAACCAGTTTAACAAATTCTACACACAAACAGGATGCTTGACAAGGGTTATTGTGCATAATTCAGATTAAATTTGTAGCACTTCCCCTAAGGCAGAGTAAGCAATAAATAAGTAGTTGTAACTAAAATATGTGGCTCCATTCTTTTCTTCATCTCCATTATTCCGTCAGCCACCAAGTGGCAGTAATATTCCTTGAATTTGTCCTTTTTCTCCTTAGTCACATTTTTCTCTTCTAAGCTATCATTTCTTGCCTGAATTATTTTTATACTTGTCCCCTAACAAGTTTTCATTCCTCAATCCACTCAGATTCACATTGACATTACCACCAGGTTTATTTTCAAAATCATCACTCTTTTCAGGTTGTTGGGGAAAAAAATCCAAACAATACGTTCAATTTCCCATCAAAGGGTGGCATCATGCTTCAGTTCAGCTTTCTAAAATTGCAGTTTCTCCATGGTGGCACTGCCCTAACTGATGTTATGCCTTAGTCTCCAGATTTTTGCTGCCGCTGTTTATCTTTTCAATCTTGACTTAATCACATCTCATCCAAGTGCCACGACCCCTATTCCAATACTGCCCACTCTTTATATGTCAGGTCAAGTTCACCATCGCACATCGGTCTCATACTCCCATACCACTCTGTGATGATTAATCTTATATATCAACTTGACTGGACTATAGGGTGCCTACACATTTGCTGGAACATCATTCTGGGTTGTATGAGGTGTTTCTGGATCAGATTAACATTAGAAGTGGTAAACTGGGTAAAAGAGATCACCCTCCCTGATGTGGGTGGGTTTTCTCAAATCATTTGAAGGTTCACATGGAACTAAAAAGGTGAATGAGAAGAAATTCTTCCTGCCTGTTTGAGCTGGGACCTTGAACTTCTCTGGCCCTCACACTTGGACTGAAACATGGGTTGTTCTTAAACCTCATGTGTGCTAACTCTCTTCTTTTCCAGCTTGCAATTGCAAATCTTGAGAATTAGCCTTCATAATCCCGTGAGCTAGCTAATTCCTTATAATAAATTTAAGGATATAATATACAGATGTTCAACTTATAATGTTTTGTCCTGTCAAACCCATCATAAATGGAAAATACTGTAGATGAAAACACTTTTTTAAAAAAATATTTATTCCAATGTGTTATACATGACAGCAGAATGAATTTCAATTAAAATTGGAATAATACAGAGAAGATTAGCATGCCCCTGCGCAAGGATGAAAATGCTTTTAATACACCTAACCTAATGAACATCATAACTGAGCAACACAGTGCTCTGCAGAGTTATTAGTTATTTCCCCTAGAGATCACGTGCCTGGCTACGGGTGAGGCTCACTGCCGCTTCCCAGCACCACAAGAGAATGTTGTATAGCATATTGCAAGATGGGGAAAAGATCAAAAATCAAAATTGTAAGTACAGTTTCTGCTGAATGCATATTACCTTCACACCATCATAAAGTCCAAAAATCATAACTTAAACCCTAGTAAAATTATGTCAGTTCAAAATATGTGTTACTTATTCAATATAAGCATAAGTTCTTTTGTGAATAGGCCATTCTTGTATTTCTTAGTATAGCAAGAGTCAAATATTATTCACACAATTTACAACCCCCCCAAAATTACAATTGCATCATCTTAGGGTGATAATTTTAACCATTGATATTTTAATTATTTTCAAGCAAGAAGCTTTTTAAAGGATAACCCTTCTTTAAAGGGATAATCCAAAGGATAATTTTGAATAAAATTGAGAGTCAGTAATGGTATTGGAACTCGTGTCAAGACAGTTTAAAAATAGGAGGCAGTTCCAACTTGGCTTCTGACCCAGTTGACCAGGGAAAGAGCTAGCCTAGCAAAATATTTCTAAGACCATAATAACACTTCCCGCTTAAAATGGGTGAGAAGTAAATGTGCCTGGGAAAATTCTGACCTTTTTACTTTATATTCTACCAAAAATAAATACATCAAAACAATGATTTGAATTCACAATCAAATACCAGACTTGGACATTTTTTGCTGAGCTAGTCTTGTAATTATGACATCATATAATCAAACTTCCTATTTCATTTTAAGAAGATAGGTGGTAAAGCAACTTTTAAAAGTCATTATCCAACAACTAAAGAGATGCCAACCTGAACTGAATCTCAGACCTGAAAAAGGACACTCGGAGAAGTAAGATCTGAGAATGAATAAGTAGAGTTAAATCAAAGTAAATTTCTTGATTAGATCATTGTATAGACTTTGGTAAGATACTGACATTTGGAAAATCTGGGTGAAGGGTACATGGAAATTTTTTGTATCATTTTTAGAACATTCTTATAAGACTAAAATTATCTTAATATAAAAAGTTCAAAATGTTATTTAAATAAATCACAAAGCTACAAGTATTTTTAGTAATCACATTGGATACTTCATAACTTGGACCACTCTCTCTCCAGAATGGCTCACCTCAGTTGAGCCAACCACAGTGAAATACTTTCATTATGATTTTTTTTCCTTAATTCACTGCTTCCCCCTTGCTGAGTCTGAAGTGTCTGAGTTAAGTGAATTTCCAATCTCATGAACAGAAGGGGAACCTGTTTAAACGGGGGAAGCTGTCATGCTCTGAGTGGCTGCACCTGGGAAACAAAGGCTGGCCCCTTTCTAATGTGTGATGCCCTAAACATTTGCAAATAAGAAAACATCATTGTAAAAATTTGGAGGGGGGATGTAGCAGGGAGATGTTGTTACCGGGGATTGATCTCAGGGGCACTCTGCCACTGAGCCACATCCACAGCCCTATTTTGTACTTTATTTAGAGACAGGGTCTCACTGAGTTGCTTAGCACCTTGCTTTTGCTGAGGCTGGCTTTGAACTCAAGATCTTCCTGCCTCAGCCTCCCGAGCCAGCAGGATTATAGGCATGTGCCACTGCACCTGGCCTGAAAATTCCTGAGGAATTTCAAAGTGGTATTTTTAACTAAGTACTAGTGCTTTTAGCCCTACCATTTCTCACTAGAAAATTCATATCAAAAACCAAGATGTTCATCTTCTCTTGGTTTCAGATAACACAATCATAATTCCTAAATATCATGTCATTCTGTCAACGACGTTCAGTAAACCAATAATCAGCTACCCATTTTTGAATATCATTTTGCCACATAAGAAGTTTTACATATATTTTTGTATATTCTAATGGGAAACAAGGCAATGGTGGCTTGAGAGAAATCCTTGAGTCTGCTTCCCCTGAACTTGTTTCGAAGGCAGCAGTATTGCTGCACAGTTGGTCACCTTTAAATCTTATAAGCCACCATGTGATCAGATCAGCCAACAACTCTTCAGTAGCATCACATCTTATAAAGAACAAAATGAGATTCACTAACTAGATGAAGAAATCTATAGATTTCTTCTATGGACTTCCATACCTATGCTATTTTGATGACCAATACTGCAAATTTCTATCCTGCAGCATTGAACATAGGAAAATAAAACATCAATAGGGTCTTCTACATGAAACTTTAGTGAAGGGAAATGAATATTACAGTTGTCCATCTGAATATTACAGTTGTCCATCGTATCATGATTCAACCGTGGTGGGTAGAGCTGAGAAAGACTATGTTTTGAGAAAGGAAAGTAAAAAAGGCAAAGGTGCATTTTGCAAGAATGCAAAAAAGCTAAGACTATTATGGAGTACTTCATTGCTCTCACCTAGGTGTGGAAGTTTAGTAAAGGCAAGAGCTGTAAACCTTTTGCACATAGCTTTATTCATCTGTACTCAGATGAAGATAATTAGGACAATTTCAATAAAATCATAAATAAGGGTTTTGTCTTAAGAGACTCTTTCTTAACCTTTTCTGTTCCAGTCTTCCCAGAGTGGCACCTTCTACCCTCCCTTTCAGCAAACTATATTTTTCTGTTCTCAGAGAGTCCCACCCCTCTCAAAACCAGGGAGTATCTGATACCTGTATTTACTTTGCTGCCCATGTCTTTTTATACTAAAATGTTAGATGTGAGCTCTCCCAGTGTGCAAAGACTCTTAGCTCCATGGAATGAAAAGTTATGCTTTATTTTAAAATAATTTTATTTTAGATATTTAGAGAAAGCAAACAGCCTGCTGAGAAACAATTCCAACTTTTCCTGACTCCAAAAAGGAAAACGTACTTAAGGAAACCTGAGAAACTGCACCATAAAATGATCAGATCAGCCTTTCCGGGCACAAACCTTAACCCCTCCATTCCCCACAACACACACTATTTTTTTTTTTTTTTGCTCCAGTTAATTTTCTCATGTTAACCCAGCACTCCTGAAGCTTCACCTGCCCTGGGTCATCCTTCCCTTGTTTCCAAGTGTCCATGTACCTTCGCGTTCAGAGGTTATCACACAACTTTTCCTCTGTTTCAAATGCTCTAAGATCCTGAAAAATCCATAGATTAAGAAAGATAGGGGGACACTGAGTTGTGCTCAAAAGCTTCTTATTTGAGAAGCTTTTTTTAATATTTATTTTTTAGTTTTAGGTGGACGCAATATCTTTATTTTATTTTTATGTGGTGCTAAGAATCGAACCCAGTGCCTCATGCATACTAGGCAAGCACGCTACCACTTGAACCACATCCCCAACCCCTTGAGAAGCTTTTTGTTTTACAGACCCAGGAGGTCTGTAAGATGGAGACAGGCAAGTTCACACCTTAAACTATGCAAAGGTTCTTGAGGTCAAAGTAGCCCCTGTTGTGAAAGAGTAATATAAAACTTTTATTTTAAAAAAAATGTATCTGCATATCCTTGAATGATAATAATGCTAGAAGGGAGGGTGAAACAATACAGGTTATTTTGAGAACTTTGTTGGTTAGGAAGAGGAAGCTATGCAATGTAAATGTAATTATGTGGAATTTTCATAATCTAAGTATTCAATTAGATTATTCAATTAGAAATGGAGAAGTTCTAAGATGGAGGAGTAGAGAAGGTTATTTCCAAACTGCTCCATGGCACAGGACCAGGAAAGAGGACAAACAGCTTCTCTTTGAGATCAGTAAAAAAAAAAAAAAAAGGAAAGAAATTCTACTAGGATTTAATACTGAACTCTACTAACTCTCAGAATGTCCTAGGGACTCAGAAGTTTGGATAGAATAAAATTTTAAAAATAAAAGAAATAAAAAGCCCACCATCAGCACCATTGGCTGCTGATGTGGACCCACCACAGGCAGGTCGAATGGAGAGAGAGATTAAGAGAGTCAACATTCCAGGTGGCACCAAAGTGAGTCCTGAAGCAGAGAGTCAGTGATCAGGAATATTGTCAAGCTGATCCAGTGGGTGAACTATACTTTGTTTTACTGTGAGGGGAAACACTGTTCATCTCCCAGTCGCTGGCAGGAGTGGGTCCAAACCCAGGCATCCAGACCTGTGTAATTCCAGCAGGATCTGAAAACCTGGCCTGGAAAAGACCTGCCTTATGTCCCAAAGTGTGACTAAAATACAGGTACAATTCAGGCATGGAAAGTGCTGTAGTTAGGGGAATTCAAGACATTCAGACCCAAGAATCCTGGGTGTCTCTCACTCTTGCATGAGGGGCAGGGAGAATGAATGTGCACTGCGGGACTGAACCCAGGTGGCCAAAGCTCAGAGAACCATGGATGGCAGAGGAGAGTGAAGGACTGGCTCCTCTGCCATTTGAGCAGAATGCAGCGGAAATGCAAATGATACAGATGCCCAGTGCAGACTGGAAGAAGCCAGGCTCTTGAGATATCTTAATTTAAAACTTCACCAAACATCATTCCACAAAGCACCAAAAGTATAGCTAGACCCAAACCCAGCCTCTGGGAGCCCTGCCTCTGGGAACTCCACAGTGACCCTTAGCTGTGAGTAGATGACACCCTCCAGCATCCTACTGATGCTCATACTGCTACCAATTTTTGTGGCAATTTTCTACCAGTGTTTATAATGCCAATTAACACTGTAGATGCCAAAATAGGAGCTAAGCATTTAGTTTAATGCTGAATATTGTTTACATTGGTTGTTGTTATTATTTGTCTCCCCCTAAAATGTTAGGGACAAGAAACCTTCAGGAATACCATAAATATATAGGGTAGAAGCTCTGTCACCTCAGATTCTCACTGATAAGTAGGTGGACAAACAAACAGCATGAAAAAGCAAGGGAACAAGCCATCCCAAACAAATGAAGATACCTCATTAACAATCCAATGACATCACAGTGGAGGAAAAATCAGAGAAGGAATTTAGAAAGTTCATGGTTAAACTGATCTGCAAGATTAAAAAAAAAAT